AGGTCTGTGTAGTTTCTATTACTTTTTATTCCCGATTTTTATATTTTACTTAGTTAATGTTTATTTTATTTCAATTTAGTTGTAGTTTACTCAGTTTCAGTTCAGTTCTAGGTAACTGTAACAATGATTGACGATACCTACGAAAATAATAAATATTAGCAGAAATGTCCTGTGTTAGGAAGGCCTTTTTGTTTATATGTGAATGCATATATTTGTTATAAATTTTTGTCTTTTTTTTTTGTCTAAAAACCAATACAAATATTTAAAATATAAATATTACCAATAAAAGACTTTTTCATTCCTTGATTAATTTCTCTGACATGTAGCTACATTTGCAGACACGCTAAACATGTAGCTATAGGAAATGTTTTGGATTCAAACAGTGATGAGTGACTTTAACAAGCATTCAAACAATAATAGCCGTAGGAGATGATATTATATAATGCAACAGATCCTGCAACAGAACACTAACATCAAAACAATGCTTTTGATTTGACCAATGTGTGTGTAATCTAAATTTATATCATGTTTGAGCTACTAGCATCACCAAATAGAACTGCAATATGTTCGGACTATCATGCTAACACACTACTCTTAATATTTTTGCAATATTTACGCTAGTATACATTTGAAGTGGATCAAAACCTTTCATCAAAAGTTGTCCTAAAACGCGTTCTTGTCTTTGATGAACTTTATTGATCCACTTCAAATGTGAATTAATAAAATGATTTAATTGTTGACTACTATAGTTTGTATAATAAGCACACCATGCAGATTTTCAGATTTTGCTCTGCGCATGACTTTACTTTCCACTTCCTGTATAACAATTTAACCGGAAGTAACAGTAACTGCAATCTCTTTTCTGACTTATTGTTTGAGTATAATATGTGATGCAGTTTTACACTAAAATATATATTTTTAAAAGCCACAAACTCGACACTCAAGCATTTGCTATTAGAGAACACTAGAGAAGCTTGTGTAGCTTGCTACACTTACATTAAATAATAATAATAATAATAATAAAACCGGCAGTACATGTTGCACACTGTGCAGTATTTAGTAAGCTAGCATTCATTCCGAACAATAGACTGCTTTCAAACAGCTTTTCTAAACGCTCCCCCATCTGCCATTGGTTGGATACCTCTACCCCAAACTGGCACCATTAGCAAGTGCTATGTTAGGCTGCTAGGGATCAAGGGGTCAAGGTTTGACTGGTTAACATAGCCTCATTAGCCTCTGGTTGTAGATGTCATCAAAGAACATCTTTCTCAAATGTTGGCGTATTCTGACAAAATACTTTTTTTTTGCAAGCAGTAAGTCAATATGAATTCATTCCAGAATAATAGATGACTGTTTTGTTGTTGCACTTTTAAAGTAGGCTACTAATGGTGCATACTAGCAGGTTTAAAGCAGGTTGGATGACTTTTCATGTTTCCTGAGGCGAATGGTTCTTGTTTGAATACTCTTTGCCTAAGACTCTTTCTCTCTCTAAAGGAGATGTGCAAAAGAGGAATACACACACATGTACACAAAGATAAGAATATTGTTTTAAAGATCACACTTATGAAAACTCATTGGTCAATATGTTGTGAAATCAAGTGTAAGAAGGCCTAACCTTCTAACCACAAACTAAAGGTTTGTGACTCTTGTGTTGTTTGAAAAACGTTTGATATGTCTTTTAATGTACCCGTAGCATTCTATTTACCTGCAGCAGAACATTTTTATATATTTTTTATAAATATTGTAACTTGAAAGGGGGAATCTGTTTATTGAAAGCCTCGTTTGGAGTCATTTGTTAAGCACATATTGGCAAATATCGCCCTCCTTTGGGCAACACACGATCTGCATAATAACACAAACAGTAGTGGATTTACATTTTCGATACTAAATTCTGGATGATTAATTAATAAAAAAATAAATAAAAATGAATTAAGCAATAACAATAAAAAGCCTCAAAGCGGATTCGTTTCCAGTGTGCAGACAACCGACCTGGCTTCTCAACGCGGAATTTAAACCGGTACTGTCAGAGAATGTCATTGATTTAATTGTTTGTTTCACATCACACGCTCGTTTTTAAACATCCCCTCTCGGTGTGTACCTCTGTTATGATATTTACACTTAAATAACAGGTGTTTTAATTGCTCATCAAGCATTTTACAGGTTTATAAGTCCCCGTGTTCTCAGTCAACGTATATACAAATTTTTTTTTTTTTAAATGGAATGTTTTGTGCTTAAACCACATGATTAACCAGCGGCGCGATCACGTGACCATCTACTGGAAAGGCTTGTTTGTAGTATGTGACCACGCTGCTCGAGCTGTCACCATACTGTCCAGAGGTGAATCAGGTATGTCCTCACAGTCTCTCTCTGTCTAACCCATCTTTGTCCATATATATATATATATATATATATATATATATATATATATATATATATATATATATGTGTGTGTGTGTAAGTCTGCCTGCAGATGTTATATGTACGTTACAATTCATAATGTTAGCTTTTTATTTGCCTGCCTGTGTCAGTTAGCTATAACAGGTGCTGTCAGGATCTGTTTATGTACTTTATGTGATGATAGTATACTCACGTCCGCCTCTAATACAGTGTATTTTCATGTTTTAAAATGTAATAAATGTACTTCAGATCAGAAACCGATATATGGTCACATTTAATTGGATCAATATTAATAATTCCCACATTTTAAATAAATTATTTTGGGGTCTCCATCATATAGGCTACTGGATAAAATAGCCCTTAATGAGATTAAGTGACATGATTTTGATGGGGCGTAATTCATTTTCTTGTCCGTTATAATTAATCAAATGTAATAATGTAAGTGCTTGAATTGACCAAAGCTTATTTTAACACAAGTTCATATTAAAGGGGTCATATGATGCTTTTTTAAAGATCATTATTTGGTGTAACAGAATATGTTGGCATGCTTTAATGTTCAAAAAACACATTATTTTTCAAATACTGTACATTATTGTAGGTCATCTATGCCCCGCCTCTCTCAAACGCTTCGTTTTCTACTAAGACCCTCCTTCCGACAAGCGCAGTCTGCTCTGATTGGCCAGCTGACCCAGTGCATTGTGATTCGCCGAACACCGCAAGCACTCGTCGGAAATGTAACGCCCCTTAACATAATCACGTGCTTCATCTTTCAAAATAAATGTAAAGACAGAGGAAACAAAGGGGAACAGAGTCGCGTGACAGACACAGTGATGAAGCTGGTATGTGTTTGCAGTTCACAAGCCACGGTTAAGACAGCTGACTCCCTGTCTTAGAACTCTTAGACTATCTCTCTCTCTCTCTCACACACACACACACACACACACACAC